TATTTTTTTTTATTTAAATAATAGTATCTTTATGAATTTCTATCCAATTTAAAAAGAGTCGCACATCTTATGAATATTGCTGTCAAATTTTCATCTGAGAAACACTATTTAGATGCAAAAAAAAATAGATTTGCGTTACAATACAGCCAAACAAACCGAAAATTTCATTCAATCATTCCAAGGAACAAAATATTATTTTGTAAACTAGAATACTCCTTAGCTAATGTATTTCCATTGCTCCTTGGAATGATTGAATGAAATTTTTGGGTGCCAGTGATTGATTTATTGATTTTAAACACCTATTAATAATTAAAAAGTATTAAAATTAATTTAAAATAAGTAAAAAAGAGTATGCAAAAATCGGTACTTATAATGATTTATAGAGAAAAAATTTTTTTTTTATTTTCAAAAATCAAAAAATAAGTAATTATGGAGGGCCCACGACCGGACCGGTCCTAAACGTTGTTAAAAATTAGTGGTTTGAAATAAAAAATTTTTACAAAAATCTAAAGATACACTCACTTTCAAAAACACAATTTAAAATTTCACACTCAAAAATCTTAATCAAAAACACTGAATATATTGTTTGTATTTTTATTTGTAAAGGCCATCTAAAAACAAAGATTTTTATAAAAAAAGCTTTAATTTGGACCATTATTAAGAAAGTTATTATAAAAAACCAAAAAAAGAGCTTTTTGAAAATTTTATCTTTTGAACAAGTAATCAAAAAAAATCTCAAAATTTACCAGAAAAGCTTTTTTGAGGGGTACTAAAAAATATCAAAAAATTAAGGAAATAAAAAATTTAAATTTTTCGAACCGTCGGATTAACTATGAGGAATTTTAATAAGCCCTTAGTCCACGTGCCTCCAAAATTTGTCACTTAAAGTATTTCGTTGCTGCTTATAGTTTCAGTTCGCGGTTAATGTACGCGTCGCATAGTACGCGGGTATGAGGGATAGTACAAAGGCTTNAAAATGAGGTTAAGTTGGTCGCTATAAGCTACTCCCTACGTCCAATGTGTCAGAGCCAACTTCGACCACGTTTTTATTTGAACGCTCGTTACATACATTATATTACTTAAAATAATAACAAAATAATTAATGTTGATCTCTTCTTAAGAGACACCCTGTATGGTTAGTAGCACTGTTGAACTTTTATTCTGATTCCGATAGATATAAATTTTTTTATTCAAAATTCAAGAGCAAAATTTTTAAAGTGTGGAAGCATGTTAGGTATTTCTTAACATAAAATTTGAAATTTTTTAACTCAAACAATTAACTGTTTCTACTAATTTACTACCATTGTTTTTTTAATAGTGTTTTAATTTTCAAAATTAAAGTTTAACTAAATAAAATATTTTAATAAAAATTTCCAATATTTTCTTAATTTAAGAAAATTTTTGTACTTTTTTATGAATTTCTAGGGGGGATAGCTGCCCTACCCTGCCCCCCTTGGCGACGCCCTTGAATCACTACATTTAAAATTTTATTTTCCATTTTTTTTTTTGTGAAACGATTACATTCGTTTGTAGTATATTTTTCTATTTACTCAACTATGTCCAAGACTATTTTAAATTATAACAAAAATATTACCCAAAAATGACTCGTTTTTCGAATAAAATGGAAGACGTATTTTTTGTTAGAAATACCAAGTGAAATTGAATACATTTATGTAATTTACAAAGTAGCCAGTGGCGTCGAAATTCTGGGGTTCTTAGTGACGAATCTATGCCTATAGTTAGTTAACTCATTGCCCATTGCATTGTCAACCATCTACGTCACATATTTTAATAGATGTTTAAATAAATGTGATTTTTTTCCATTTTAACTGTCTCGAAAACGAAGCATTCTACGACCTATGTTTATATGATTTTTTTTCTTATTTTGAGGTATTCTATCAAGTTTGGTTTCTGCAACACCCTATATACCTACAGTCATTTTATCTAAACTTTATCTTTATTCAAAGTTGCTTCGTTTAGTCGCTAGAGCTTCTCGAAAACGGCATTTTTTTTTCAAAAAAGTAATTGCGTTTATAGAAATCAGAAAAAACCTGCCACTCCTAAGCGATGTGGTCTTTTTTTCTGGGAGACCCGCCAACTCCAATTCTTATTTTATCATTCAAAAAAATTTTTCCTTGTAAATTTTTCGAATTTCTTAGGTAATAATTAATTATTTTCTTAGTCATCACCAACGAATTTTCGTTGCAAATATGATTTGTCAATATAAATCTGATTTCCTTAACAATTAAAACAAAGTCTCGAATCCGTGGATTAAAAATAGGTATATTTTAGTAAGTTGATAATATTAAAATACGATAATATCATCATAATTTACTGAAACTTACTTTGATAAGAAATGTAGCCCTGTTGTTAAGATTCAAATAATGTATCATATCTACCCGATATCTATCAATTTGCCCAAGTTTCAGGAATCAAATCTGTCGAAATCGTTCAGATTTCGGAAGTTCCGCAGGGTTCTGTCCGTGGACCTTTAATGTTACAGTGCTTATTACTGATATTTGTTCTAATTCGAACGCACATAATTTGCAACGAAATTAAATTTGATAAACTCCCAATGCAATATTGATAGTTGCAATATATGACGAACTTCTAAACTATATAAACTGTTAGTCTTGATCTCAATTACACTCTACTAACTAACTAATATGATACTGTATTATATGTTTACTTATTTATAAAACTGGAAGAAAAAAATTTGTTTGCGCA